AATTCTTGCAAAGTTCCCATAAACGATTACACTTGTCATGAAAATTTTGATCTTTCTCGGCAGGACTTCTTCTCAAGGTAATTTTTCTCCTTCACAATCTTATCAAAATCTTTCTTCAAATTATTAAAATCTTTAGTCTTTGTCTCAAGCTTGGCCCCAAGAGATACACCTTGACTCCATATTATGGAGATCTTCTACCGTCTCTACTCTTTCTTTTTCTTTAGTAGCAAGTTTGAGATTTCAAAGACTTAATCTCTTTGAGCAAACCTTTCTCTCATGAAGTCTTGCATTCTTCGCTTCTTCTTCAATAGATTTACATAAACTCCTTTGTAAAAGAGCACTCTACAAAATACAACGCCATAAAAAGTCAAGACACGAAGCCAAAATTAACATACGAAGTTAGGCAAAAATATACATACCTTGTAAATCATGGTAACACTTGTATCTGCTAACTCAAGGGAAGATTTCCCAGCAAGTTGAGCTTCAGTGTCGAGAAGCTATGAAGGCATCATCAATATACTTTGACACTTTAACTTTCGACTTCTTTGGCATAATCTGAAGTCTGTCCCGAGCCGAATCCCAACTTGTATGCCTTAGGTCAACTCCACGAGGAAGCTGTTTCTAAGGCTTTGGCGAGGAGTAGCAGGCTCACTGAGCCACATCCTTCATCGTCCCAATATCAATAGTTGTCTCCTTCGAGATGAAGGAGTAGGAAAAATTCCACTACACCAAAAAAGCGAAATGCGTCTCAAATAAGAACAAAATATAAAATTCAAATCAAACAACACAAAATAACAAACAAAGTTACCTATGGAAACACCCTTTTCAAGTTGACATGTAACTTTATCACCAGTGTTCACATCAATGGTAGACTCAGTAAGACGAGATGCTCGGGCATGCTCGACCTCTTAACAAATACATCATCATCGAATCATCAAAATCAAAGGGTATGAGTAGTAGTACCCTCACCCTTGTGAGCCTTAACTCTTGGAGCATCAGGTCTCCACGAGCCCCACCTAGTAAATCAGATATCTCAAATCACAACTTCGGGGAGGAGAGGCAACATGAAGAGTAGCACCAACATCTTGGTAGTTCCTTGAGGAGTTTCAAAGAACAAATCTTTGAGAAGAAGGCCCAAAGGTCTCACAGTGAAGCCATAGTTTCAATCTCACCTTCTTCCATTTGCACCTCAACAATAGCGGTTGTGTCAATGATGGCGGTTATGCGTCATGAGAAGAAGCCGAACAAGCGGGAAGAAGGCAAAGTGTCTTTGCCAACATTTTCGAGGCGAAGACAAACTATCCTCACCAACATCTTCACGAGAATGCAAAGTAGCCCCAAATTTCGAAATAGTCACCAAGCGGAGTCAACATTGGTGGAGTCAAACCACTAAATTAAAAACTAAACTAATCATTCTCATCTCATCATCACGAGCACATTGACTAAGAACCTCTTGATTTGTCAACATCAAGACCCAAATCAACTTCATCTTCTCACGCCTTTTTTTCGAATCAAAAGAAGTGAAACCTTCTTTTTCTTGCTAGCCCTCTTAGCAAGTTGTTCACCGACTCTTTTCTTCTTTGTAACATTTTCTATGCTCGGCTTCGCCGCACGAGTATACGTTGGTGAAGGTCTCTCATCATATTTGATTTGGGCAATTTCAAATATTCTATTCAAACGCTTATAATCTTTTCCAAGAATTTTATCCATCAAATCTTTTTCCTTCTTCAAAAACTTGCCCGTAATCTCAACTCATTTAACTTCAACAATGAAACAAATTCTTCATCTCTGTGTACTTCTTGAACAAAAAGCTTCTTTGTCGGGATACAAATAACATTTCCTCCTCATAACTTTCTTAAGAAAATAATAAAGCTCCAGCCCTTCTTGAGAGACCAAACTTGAGCTACAATATATTCTTCATAAAGATCACGAGCACTTTGCGATTAGCGATCAACTTATAAGCACTGTTCACAAATCTTTCAATTCTTTGTACTAGGAAATTTAGGCTTGTAATAAAAACATTCTTCCCCATCTTCACAGACCAATGGATAGCACTTCACAATCTTCCTTGACTCTCATCCCTTTCTTCAACCATTGGGCCAGTATAGTAAAACCCATTATCGATACCAATTTTGACCCATTTATTCTTGAGAATTTGCTTAGCACCTTGAGTAGGTTTAAAACTACAACTAAAAGTACTTGATAATAGTCTTTCCATCCACATTCTTACTCTTAAACTGAGTATGCATCTCATGAAGAGCACAAAAGCCCTAATATCCAAGTTTACATCTTGAGACTTCACCCCAAACAAAAGAGCAATCTTAGCTATTCAGTTAGGAGTCAAATGATGCATTTCAATATTATATGCCTTTAGAAGTTCTTCAAGAAAATCTTGACACAATATATGAAGTCCAGCTACAAATTGATCCCAAAAACCACACATTCATAAGGTTTGGGATCAGGAACTACTTCATTTCGAGGCAAAGCAGTGATGCCCTCTCCACCATCCGATTAGTCACCATCCAATCCAACTCTTTATCATCCATCAAAGTTTGGCCAAACTTCAAAGACTTTGTGTCATCACCAACCAACTCGGACTCAGACGCGAGAAACATCTCGATAAATCTTCACCCAAGTGAGATTGATTAGATCAAGCTGGAGAGTTAAGCGAAGCATTCTTCTCTTGATTAGACATCTAGAAAATAAAAAACTTCTCATCAAGATAAATAATAGTAACAACAACAAAAGAAAGAAAGAAAGAAAACATAAACAAAACGAAATTAAAACTAACATTTAGCCAACAAATCTTTCACTCTTGGAAAGAAATAGTCTTGAGAAAGAGTTTGGCTCTGCTAATTTTTGACTTAAGCTTCAAAGAAAATTTCAGCAGCACCTTCCGATTTTGATAAAGTAGCAAAAATGGGGAGGGATCAAGTATATATAGGTGGCTTCGGTCAAACTGACGATGAGTTCGACTTCCGACGATCAAACTCGACCGTTGCAATTCAAAAAAATAACTTCATTCACAGTCTAACATTAAAACGACCAACTACAAAGTTCGGGATGGTGTTTTTGTCTTCGTTTTAAATCCAAACTTCATGGGATTCAGACCTTTGGAGTAGGCCTTACGCTTTGTGAGGGGGTGTTGTTAGGGATTTAACCCGCCAAGAAAACTCAACCCCACGAAATTTTGTGAATTAAACACCACTGTTAAGCAATCGTTTTACGTGGCTTATAAGCGGCTAATCTTTGTTTTGTTGTGAGAAAAAACAACGCATCATGGTGATAAACATGGTTGATATGATCAAGTGAACATGGTAAAATTGTGATTTCTATAACAAAGTTTACTTGTAGGAAAAGAAAAGTGAAGCGAAGGTGGAAATTTGACTTAAATCGGAAAAGATTCCGTCTTCGGCGAAGAGATCTAAATCTGTCTTTGGTAAAAAGAAGAAAGTAAGATTAGGCAAAGACAAGAGTTTGACTTCCCTTAATATTCTGGGAGAAGAAGAAAATCAAAGCAGAAATCAACTAAGTCTAGAAGACGAAGACATTGATGAAGTTGATGTACAAAAGTTGAAGAATGAAGACTCAAAAGGGAAAAAGACCACTTCACCCTTGTAGTTGAAAAGGGTTGTAACTATTTGAGTCAGGGGGTAAAATAATCATTTATGTAAAAGCATGAAGACTAGGACCCCTATAAATACCCTCTCTGACATGTACAGTACGATTATGAAATGAATACAACTTTGACTTGTGTTCAACTTTAATGTTTGTGTAATTGTTTTACCCAACAGGGAGCAAAAGGAAGGTTGAATGCAACAAAATATCCCATAAGTGTAGTAAATATGTTGTGAGGCTGAAGTCAATGAATGCTTCTTTGATTTGACTCATGCTTTATGCAACACATCATAAGTAGACTCGGGCATATATATTCCAACCCAATCATGATCCAAAGCCATCCAACCACAGATTATATTCAATCGATGAATGGAACGAACTTCTCTAATGAACCACGCATACCAAGTCCCACTAATTATGAATAAGTCTACGCCATTTTTTATTGTGAGCATGACTGATATATCGGTTTTCACTCTCTGAGAGATTGCACATATTGTGCTCACGAGTCGATTTTCACTTTTACACTTCACATCTCCAATATGATCAACATGGTCACACAACAAGTCCATTACATAGTTGCGATTCCTACTCTAGCACACATAACAAGGTTTTCACCTCTAATAGTGTGGTACCATATCCTGTATGTAGCGCCCTATGCTAGTTGCCACATGCATGCAATTTTCCAACCATGAACCAAATTAGGTAGGTAATTAATTGGTAGGTCCAGAGCTATTATAGGCCTCATGCTTATGTAATTTATTAGGGTTGCATGCTCTATGAATCGATCCATAGAAATATGAGAACAAACTCCAAACACCATATCAAAACCAAAGAATCCATGCATCCTACTCAATTTCACCCACCCATAACTAAGATCATAAAGTTTCTAGGTTTGCCCAAAGTTCAATAGCATTGGAGAAATTTCAATTGAGGAGTCTGCATTTTGTTGGACTATGAGCTGTGAAAAAAAGCTGTTGTGGGTTGTGAGTCGTGAAAAAGTCATTATGGTCAGTCAACTGTGAGAAAGCCGAAAGCTACATTTGGTTGAAATTGACTATGAGGCTGTGAGGTTTGGCAAGAAAGGTCTATAATGCCCACTGAAGGTATGAGGAATTGTTGATATGCAAATTGATCGTAAAACTCTTGTGTTGTTCACTTAATCACATGTAAAATACCATTTTAGAAAGGGAAATTTATTTTTTTAAAATTTTGCAACCACCATTACCATATTGTCCACATGAATACAAAGATAACATTTGACAAAAGATATATGGTTCATATAAATGTCCACCATTAACATATGGTCCACATAATTATCTTCAAACATGTGTTTCTTATGCAATCGAAAGAATGGGCTCTTCTCATCCTTCTCTTCAATAGAACTAGAGTGTTCCTTGCGTTTCTTTTCCCGGCTTTGATTTCTTCAAAGCAGCCAACCTCACATCATCAATGTCTTGAGTTTTTTGTACCTCACTCGCGCCGTCATCACTTGACTCATCGGAGGATATATCTCCGTAGTAGGATGCACTAAGCGCCTTGACATGTATCTTATCAAACAATAGATGTAGATCATCAAGGTGCTTTGGCCCTTGTTTTCTGAACCTCACATGGTTGCATTTGATACCTTTTTTAGGATTATTGCACCTCTAAAATTAAATGAAACAAAGAGTTCATTAGCAAGTAACACAATATGAAAGCATTGAAAATGAACAATGAATAATGATAGCGATAAAGTGCTTACTACTAGGGTGTTCATCCCACCATTCCTTAGAGCACTCAACAGTTCACTTAATACTCATTCCATCCAAGCCCAGTTGCTTATTCTTCAACTCCATGAACCATTTATATTCCTTTTCATATTGTCCCACTTGTTCTTGAGTTGTTTCTTTGTTAGCTTCTGACCGCGGTTTTCTTCATGCTTAGATATAACATTTTTCCAACCAAATCCTATTGAAAAATCCCAATGGCCTATTCCCAGCTATCTCTCTCTTTGCAGATATCAATAAAATGCCTCACATTGGCATCACACCAATCATTTTATCGGCCATTCTTGAATGAAGAAAAAAACTTTGATTCAATTAGGTTACCATAACATGACTACGTAGTATCACACCAATTTATGCAGTGATCGGTACCAAAAGGAAGAAGTACCCATTATCTTGCCAAAGGAAGACGATCCGATACTTCTACCACCCAAGAACTAGTGTCTATCTCTATACTCTTGTCCTTCAATTCATCCATGATATATCTAGTCGACACAAAGTATAATTCACGAACACGCTTTATAAAAACCTTCATGTGCACGAGCCAATTTACTACTCGAATGAACAAGCCATGTGTTTGTTTTCTCAATATACTCCATGAATCAATAATGGCTACCTACTTGTATCTATGGGACGGCCTGCAAGAACACAATGAGGAATTCGGTATGGCAGGCTCCTAGAGACTCACCTCGAATCTGACTCACGCAATCTCGTCCACTCAAGTGCA